TAATGAAAAACAAAATATTACACATTTAAAATATGTGTTTTTTATTTACCATGACATGATTCCGTCTGCTTCTCTAATGACATTCATATTTCCTTTAATGCATTAAACTCCTTGAAACGGATACCACACATATGATACCGAAATACACTAGTAAATGGCGATACATAACCATTCAATGAGAAAGTATTTCTTATTTATTGTTCTTTTACGATTCCTTTAATAAAAGAACAACAAATATGTGCGAACATAGTTTCTGACTATAACTTTTTTTAGTAACCAGTGGAAAGCCTTAGTTGTGATTAGATGTATCATATTCCCAAATTTCTTATACACCATTGTATCGCTAAAATTCAATCAATCAAGACATTACTTCTATCTATTTGTACAAGAAGAACATTTTGTCGTCGACTTTTTTCTTCTACCTTTCTTTCGTTGAATGTGTAGTTGCACCATCAAAAGAAAAATACGACACTCCTAAAGTAAATACGCATTTCAAGAGAAGAAATAAAAGCAACAATACACCACACACTTTAACAGTTTCTATCGAACACAAAGAAAATCATGACAAGTTTGGTTACGTTACCGGTAGAGCTTGTCTATCGAATATTAGACCATCAGGATGATTGGACTCTGCTGTGTTCTATGCGAAATGTATGTCAGCGACTCAACCAAATCGTTGACACTTACGATCGATACCAGGTAAGACTTTTTCTTATTATATCCGGCTAATATCCATCAATCTTCAAGTTCGCTTTCACTCGTACGATCTGTAAGCCTGATAAAATACTAGGCACTGAGGCTATTGCGAGATGGGAGTAACAGGGCGACAGTTTCTCGCAAGTCTGAAATAGAAGAAGTGGTGGGTGAAGTACAATGATAACTTAGAGGCACTTAGACGTGCAAGTGCAGCGCCACTGAGATTGGTTCAGATGATAGAGAGGATCGTATTCGCATCCAAGCCTACAGTGGAAGCAGCAGTAGGTGAGATTCGATGTGGATCCATCTGATAAAAAAATGGATG